CAATTATTTAACCTACAGTGTAAAAAAGAAAGAAATTGTACTAAAAAAGTGTTTGTCAATAGTAAAGGATGTTAAATGTTTACTATCAGAGAGACTTTCTCAATTCTAGATAGAATTCTAGATTACAATTCACTCAATTCCATCAAATTATTCAACTTCATGATCTTGAGCAATCCATGTTTGATTGACTTGATATAAATAACTTGGAAATGGAATTAGTAGACTTCAAAAAAAAGGACAGTGTGAACGACAAAATTTATCAACCTTAACTTGAAGTTCCAAGAGAAGAAAATAAAATCATTAGCCTATGTAACAAAAGAAAATGAAATTTGCAGAAGGGTAGTCATTGCCAAACTCTTTTGCATCAATGAAAAAGTTGACAGTTATGCTGACCATTTTTGGCTCTTTCTATACACCTGAAACGCTGTTTTCGCATAAAATCATATATAAATTCAACCAGCAGGAATCGCATTGGTATGGATACGAGTGCTGCATGCGTTATGTTGAAGACAAAATATGAACATCGAATTAAAATATTAGCAGTTAAGATACACTAACAAGTTTCTCATTACAAAATATCAGTAAGTATATGCGTGACTCATTTACGTTAATAAAATATTTTTAAAAATATTTAAAAAATGACCTGGTTCGCCATTTCTATTATATAAATTACATTATGCTTTCATATTACATGGAAGGTTATATATATATATATATATATATATATATATATATATATATATATATATCATTAATAGACAATAAAATACCAAATTACGTCATGTGGGGAATAGACTATTTCGGCAGATGAAAATATCGGTCGTCTGTCTTTATCAACACCAAGAGAGCAACTTTTATTAAGTTTGATATTATTGACTTTTATTCATCTATATACAGATACCTTTAGTGCAGTGCATAAATTTTGCAAAACAACCATATGGAGATAACTGATGATGAAATTAATATCATATTTACTGTCAGGAAATCGCTTAATAGTTCGACCTGGATTAAGTGCAGGAATGACGACGTTGTCGTTTCGATGGGAGTGTATGATTCAGCCCAGATTACTGATCTTGTCTTCCCATATACACGAGACATTCTTAGAGAACATATTTTCGGTGTAATATCCTAAAATAAATAATATTGCTCTACTCTGTATGGAGCCCTCTTTTAAATTTAATGTTGCGAACGTTGGAATTGTATCCTATTCGGTCTCATCGTATTTATTTATATATATATATATATATATATATATATATATATATATATATATATATGTGTGTGTGTGTGTGTGTGTGTGTGTGTGTGTGTGACACCATTTAGGGGCACAAAAAAAAAAAGGAAAAAAGGTTTAAAAAAAAAAGAAAGGAAAGAAAAAAAGAGGCGAGACTTAAGCTTAGATGATGAAAAAGAAACCACCCACGACCGGGGACATTGACAATGTTATTTTGATAAGTAGCAAATGGTGAAAGGTTTCATTGCCATTGCAGAAAATTCTAAATGGATTAGAAAATCGACTGTGTTGTGGTGGCGGACTTGTGTTATCGGGAATAGATAACAGCCACTTAATGCTGGCGAACATCTAATTGACAAACTACAGACCGGCTAGCTAAACTCCGAGACATTTCGACAATGTTATTTTGATAATGGAAAAAGATGGTGAAAATTCTGACGGCCAGTGTCGTAGGATTGCCTGACAAGGACCAGGTGAATACAGAGATTTGGATAGATAAGAAAAATTAACTGTGTCAGAGGGGGCAAACAATATTGTCGGGAAAGGATTTAATAGGCCATCTGTTAACCGCACACGAAGCCAACCCTGGGTTAAGTCTTTGCCGTTTTGACGAGACATTTATGGGTGTTAGAATTCGGTTATGATAATAAAACTATGGTATCAGAAATTGGCACCAAGAATGCAAATACGGCTAGGACAATGAAACTGTCTTTCGAGACGGGAATCGGCTGTGTTTCGCTAGACGACTACCCACTTGGCATTGATAGATCCCAGGTGACATTGGGGATGAGAGCAGCGATTAAGGAAAGAAAAGGGAAAAAAAAGATTATTTTTTTTTTGAGCACGATATATTTTTTTCTTAAAACAAAGCTAGCCGGATCACACCCACCCGGTTGGACGCCATTGACCGAATGTCAACGAGGGCCAGGCGGAGGTGATCACGTGACGCAAGGGGGGGGGAGCCGCCGCAGCCCATTTAGAGGATAGGTATGAGAAGTTGCTACGAAGAAGTGGGGAGAACCGTTGACGCCCCTCTGAAGTATGGTGAGATATCCATATGAGAATAAGAGAAGGTGGGAGTAAGAGAATACTTCCAAAAATGGAAAGGAGTGGAAAATTCCTGACCAAAAATAAAAGAAGTGGATATGGATTTAGAATTATCGAGGAACCTCCAACCCCGACAAAGCCCACCCCGGTTTTGGTCGGCGTCCATATAAGCAAAGTCGCAGCGAGCGGAAATCAGTTCGGACTCCGATTTTCCAGAGTTCAGTCTCCAGTGCTCAGTTGAAGCGGGCCTCGCAGAGCTGACTTGAAAGATTCGCGCAACTTCCGAACTCATCTTCAATCCAAGAACAATTTAATTTTGAAGAGCGACTTAGATCCATACCACCAAAATAAGTTTTACGACTATCGCTTGAAGACACACCAAGAACCAATTTCTTAAAGAACAGACAACTTAAGATGTTAAAACTCATCTAACAAAACCAACGTGTCACAATCCATATAGCGGGTCGGGAGAAGGACGCAGTCCTATGTATCCAGCAACCAGATATAAAGTATTGTTATCCTTTTTTTGATACCTTGAACTTTTGAGTTATCATTTTATTTTATTTTATACATATTTGTGTGATACCACCCTCGTTTGAACTCAGCTTGCATTACGGCCCCAACGACTGATTGATTTCGTCTGCTTAAGATCAATTCACAACGTGGGTAGGCGGACTGGAGATCAACGCAGTTACGTTGGTAACCAGACGTTGGAAGCGAGTTGGGAACGACGAGGCTGATATCGAATCTGACCAGATTCCCATCCGAATCACCAAAAGGTTAGAACGTCACATTTGGGTGCCGCGACCAATACCAAGCCAGTTGATCGTCGCGGAACGGGACAACACGACTGACGCAGACAGGCGGACGTCACGTTTGGAACGGTGATACCCGGACGAAGCACCGAGGAGCGAGCGAAGGCTGTAGAGGGACGTCACACACACACACACACACACACACACATATATATATATATATATATATATATATATATATATATTGTCGTCTAAATTATGCAAAAATGAAAAAAACACTGTCATCTCATTTTAACAGATATATTTACCAAAATTACACAAAATATCTTTAAATACTAAAGAGTAAATTTTTTTCAATAAAATCGCAATTTGTTCCAACAACGGTTTCCAAGATGACTTCGGAATCTCCTGCAATTCTTCTGGACGGTATCCTTGTTTAAGTTGGTGGATGTTGCCATAATCCATGCCTTCAGTTCATCTTTGGTATTACAAGGAGTTTCGTTGGTCTCTCGACCCACACATAATCATCAAGGTGGTTGCATTCTGTAGAGTTAGATGGCCAGATGTAAGTGGTCACAGAAATTGTCTGACTAGTTTCTCCTGCTTGTGTGGCATATTGCAGATTCTTTTGGGGGGTCTTCCAGAAGCCACCCTCTTGACCAAGGGTAGTACTACCTCCTCAAAGCACTTGATCAAGGCCTCCGTGTTAAGTCTGAGACCCACAACAACAAATTCGGAAGTTCTTTTCTTATCGGAACTATAAGAGTGAGTTTTCCAAGCTGCCGTACCTTCGTAATCATCATTAGACTCATCAAACTCTTTCCGAGTCCTCTGTACTGTCAAAATTGACACCCAAACACTCTGCAATGTTCATATTGGATCTTCCCGCGTACCGCTTGCCGTTTCCAAATTTCAGTTGAAGCGAATTTCGTCATGTTGCTCTTTTTCTCAAAGACGGTCTCTAACTCATCCTACTATATTGTGCAGTCGACAAAATAAAAAAAAGATTGGCGACGATTTACCCATCGCATCCTTTTCTCTCTCTCTCTCTCTTCATATATATATATATATATATATTTTAAGGTAACAAATCCGATTGTATATAATTCAAGTGGATCTTAATAATATAAAATAATAAAACTGATCCACAAGAAGAGCTCAATGTATTTATTAATACAGAACAAATTATATTGTTTATAAACAATAAAATCCAAAATTGCTCATATGTGGAATAGCCTATTTTGGCAGATCTCAAAGATCCTATTATTATGTTTGTCCTTTTTGTAAATATCAGTAATTTTGTCCGTTAGCATTTTGAGGTATTTAGAGGGGTTACATTTATAAATGTTCTTAGATTTATCCGAGTTTTTAATCATATTAATATCCTTGTTTAAAACCTTAATAAAGGTTAACATCTCTACTAAATCTCATATTCTTGATTATATATATATATATATATATATATATATGTGTGTGTGTGTGTGTGTGTGTGTGTGTTATTGGTTTAAATTTCTACTAAATCTCATATTCTTGACTATATATATATATATATATATATATAACACAGAAGATGCGTGTGTTTGTGTGTGTCTGTGTGTGTATTTGCATACAATTAGATTTGTACATAAGACATATTAAACTAAATCTAAAATATAGTGATATGATGAGAGAAAATAAAAGAGAGTTATGGTAAGAACAATTGCGTAAAGAAAATAGTGAATATTTAAAAATTTATAATTTTTGAAAATAATATTTAAGTATACGTTGTCTGCGGAAGATCCAGCAGAAGGTCCGAATCCGATTTTAGTACCTCTTGAAAACTGGTTGCCTGCGGAGACCCAGAGATTAGTCGGAAACACATGGTGGTCCAGGCGATTTGCATATTAAAATTCGGGGGCGGTGCCTAAAGGTGGTTTAGCTCCGCCTCTCTCTATATAAGCTGCCCGCACGCTTGAGTTAGTCAGATGAGTTCGGAGTTCGGAGTTCGGAGATCAGAACGCAGAAGAGGCGGCTTGTTGGAATTTGCTGGTGTGGTCTGTTGGTTGCCCTGTGTCAAGAAGACCGATCCGAGCCAAGAGATAGAAATAGAACCCGTACGAATCCAGATAACTTCGTCAACAAGGCTGCGAGAAGGCAGACTGCTATATCGTAGGGTGCAGACGAAGATCCACGAATTACCTCCCTTAGATCAGCCGAAATTGTTTAGGCAGAAATTTTCCTACTCTCTCTCTCTCTCTCTCTCTCTCTCTCTCTCTCTCTGTAACTTTCCGACCCAAACGAGTGAATCTCGTTACGACATTTTGTACTCGTGTAAATTCTTCGGTAGAGATATAAAAAACAGTGGCCTAAATAGGGCCCTTTGTACAGGAACAGGAGTTGCTTTTTTTTTTCTTTTTCATGTGTTTGCGGCTACGACAAGAAACTTTTGCTGCATGAATAGTGATTTCCTTTCAGCGAAATACCCAACCATTCCCTCCCCTTTCCACCGGATCGTTCTGGAGAGATCGATACACTGCTGTTAGGATCAAGAATTCACAACGTGGCGAATAGTGGTTGTTCCTTCAGTTCACCGGAGGAAGATCGAGTGGATTTCTTTTTCGGCCAGAACCACAGGGGAGACAGGACAGAACTGCAACAGGCAGGGTTATTACGTAAGAATTGGTGCCTTGTGCCAGGATTCCGACCCGTGGATTTGCCAGGGACGCGGAGAGAGAAGAGCACAATTTCCTGTACAAAAAAAAAAAAAAGGACTGAAAGCTTAGTACGAATAAAAAGACTGTAGTTACAAACTATCGGTCGGAAAGGCTCGGGAAAAGAAAAAGAGAGAGAGGGAGAGGAAGAAGAGAGAACAAGAAAACGAAGAAGAGAGACCCGGAAGAAGAAGTAGAGGAAAATTGGGAATTGGAGACAGTTCCGAATAAACGAGAATTGGCTAGTGTGCTGGACGTGTAAATACGCAGGACACAGGGCTCGAGACTGTCCAACCAATTGGGGAGGAGACTGTGGTGAATACGGACATAAAGCTCGGTGGTGTACGGCGGCAGGGGACCGTAAATTAGGCATTAAGCGAACTAACGTCCTGTTACCACCCACCAGGAAAGCAAAGAGCCCAGGAAACGCCGTTGAGTCTCCCGTGAAGGAGTAGGAGGCAGGGTGGCCCCAGTCCGAGCAAGACCTCTGAAATGTTGGACGTGTGGAATAGTTTCGACCGATTGCGCAGGCCACATGGGGCGAGCCTGCCCCCCCCCACAGGGGAGGGAGTCCCCCAGGACGAACCGGCCAGGATAGGAATGAAATGGAGAGACAGAGGGATAGAGCAGAAGGGCGCTATCATCCAAACCCCATCCCAGCCAGAAGGGCCCCCAGACGAGAAATGGGACCCCGAAGAAATAAGGAACCCCCGTTGCTGGCCCTCGCCTCTCAGTGGTCCAGAATGGAGGCGAATAGGAAAGATGGAAGGGAGGCCCGAGTGTACCATTTGCTGAAGGAGGGACTGGATCTCACCTGCTGGGAGGCAGGAAGGTTAGGGCCCTGGTTGATCATAAGTATCACTGGTTAGTTCGAGGGCCTACAGACAGTTAGGGAGATGGGGAAAGTTGAGACCAGTAGATTTATCCATAAGCCAGGCCGATAGCAGTAAGATGAGGATAGAGGGCATGACATGGCTGCCGTTTCAATTAGCAAGGACTAGAGGTATCATGAAAGTGTATGTGGCGCCTGACTTGTGGGGCGAGTTGATTCTGGGGATTGACTGGTTTAAACAGAACAAGGCCCAGATCCGTTTCGACCCAGCCACCCTGACCTTAGACGGGGTAGAGATACCGCTAGGAGAAAACAATTATGAGCAGCTAACTGTAGTAGCCCAGGCAGATATAAAGTTGCCCCCTAGAACCACTGTATCTGGGGAAGGCGAAATTATAGTAGAGGGAGCCCTGAATGGCGGCTTGTATCAGGTAACCCCTACCTAATGGGTATGATAATAATGAGGGAGAAGTGACAGTATGTAGTTCATTAGTGAAAGGATCAGGACCGTCCCCCTGCTTCTGACTAATTCGGCTAATAAAACCGTCAGAATAAAGCGAGAAGAAGAGTTAGCACGGGCTTGCCCCGTAAGGGAAGTCGAACAGGTGAGGATAAGAAACAAAGATAGGTCTCGGAACAAGACAGGGATCAGTGAATTAAGGGACGAGGACATAACAGCCCCTGAATGTTATAGAAGAGAATTAAGGGGTTTGCTAAGTAGAAACCGGGAGGTAATAGCAATGACAGATAAGGAGCTAGGACAGACAGAGACAGTGGAGATGAGGATAGACACCGGTGATCCCCCCCATCTATCAAGTTAAGGCCATATAGAACCCCAATCTACAAAAGGAAATTAGTAGAGGAGGCAGTGAATGAGATGATGGACTCGGGGATAATTGAGAGATCCAAATCTCCCTGGAGCTTCCCTATCGTGATAGTTGAAAAGAAAGGTGGAGGGCACAGGTTTTGTGTTGATTTTCGCCAGCTGAACGCGATTACAAAACCGCTAGCAGTGCTCTCTTCCTTTGATTGATGACATTTTGGCTCTCCTAGGGAAATCTAAGTGTTTTTCTACCTTGGATTTGAGATCGGGTTATTGGCAGGTGGCCCTGAACAAGAAAAAGACCAAGAAAAGACTGCGTTCACCTGTCACATGGGTCTTTTCAATTTTAGGGTTATGCCGTTTGGGTGTGTTTAGTCAGCTCATGTCCATAGTGTTGAATGGCATGGAGACGTTGGCCATGGCATATCTAGACGATATCATGGTGTTTTCGAAATCGCCTGAGGAGCATTTTGAACACCTGCAGCGGGTGTTCGACCGCCAAAGGAGACATGGCTTGAAGCTGAAGCTGTCAAAATGTCAGTTTTTAAGAGAGGAGACAAAATACCTAGAATTCGTGATAAATAAGGACGGGATAAAGACCGACCTAGACAAGGTAGAGGTAATAAGGGCCATGCCCGCGCCGAAAACTGTAAGGGAGATTAGGGGTTTTATAAGAGCCATAGGATATTATAGGAGGTTCATACCCGCATTTAGTCGGTTAGCGGGTCCTCTGATAGCCCTGACGAAGAAATACGCCAGATTTAGGTGGACGGAGGATTGCCAACGTGCATTTGAGGCTTTAAAGGACCAGCTGACTGCCGTGCCCTTGTTAGCGCATTTTATTCATATGAGAAAATTTCAAGTGTTTCTAGGAGTATTTTTCGTGCTGATTTCAAATCTGAAGAGATCTCCAGGCTAAATGTGCGCACTGCTTCAGAAAAGGGGAGATAATACAGGGTGTGTCATTTACGGAAAAAGTCCATTTTCATGGTTTACTTCATGTAAAATGAACTTTAAATAAGTTTTTTTAGCACATTTAAGTGTATCAACAAGAAGCTGATATATCTATGCTCTTATATTATGTGTTAATTTATTTAATCAGGAATTTTCAGCAAATAAAATGACTTGCATAAAGCCATAACAATGAAAACGTTACTTTCTATTGTCGTGTGAGTTTCTCAAATTCGAATAACCTCGTAAAACATTGCAATGTACATTAATTTGATAAAAAAACATGAAAAACCTTTATATATGTTTCCAAATCTTGTGCCTTCCAAAAATCATAGATGGAAGAACTGTTTTCAAATACTTCTGGTGATTGACTTTTCTTCATTTTGGACTGCCATTTACTATTTTTGATTTAATTTTGTCACACATATACATTGACTGATATAAAAAATCTTAATGTTTAGACTTAACTTTGACTATATATATGGAAAAAAAATATTGTGACTATATATATAAAAAATATTGTAATAAGAGTTTTTTTTCAGTTATGTTGAAATAATTGTTATCACGTAATACATTTATAAAAGGAATTGAAAAATAATTGATTGTCCTCTAATCCTGCAAGCTCATCTTATCATTCGCCCTCTGAGGAGTCAGAATCTTCTATTTCATTAATCTGCTGCACTTCATTTTTTTTTAAGTACATTAAAACAATCTATACACTGGCAAAGGTCGGTATAAGGCAGTGTTTGACGAACACAAGAACAACGCCTGGAGTTACAGCTGTTCTTCTTACAGTTACACTTTACTAAGTTCATCAAGGTAGATGGAGTTTTAGGAAGGCTGCTCCAATGAACAACGAGTTTTTGATCTTCACATTTCCAGCCATGATTTGTTGCAGAAGGAGCATTAATATTAATGTGAAGACATTGTCGCCAAATTACAGCCTGGTAATTTGCCCTTTCTGCATGTAACCGTAAACTATTTTGGCAAGGTGGTAGAGTATTATCCAATTTTCCAGACATATGAAAAATATTAAAATGAGCAGTATTTACAGAAGAAACATTTCTCTGTCCAAATAGACAGCACACAAATTTTTCTAGTTGCTGGAACAAATCATCTGTCAGGTGCCAGTTGCAGCCTAAAAGTGTGAAAGTTTGAAGAAATTCCTCTGTTTCTTTCATTAACTCAAAGGGTTTTATTTTACCCTTTCCCTTAAAGCAGCTAACAGTATCACAGCCAGTGAATGCATGCAAAGAAAGTAAGGCACTTGAAAGAGCAGGTCCACATTTCTTTGCAACTGATTTAATAGAGATCAAACAAGATGATCGGTTGGTATTAGTAGCCATATATAAATCACAGCTTAATTCATTTTGATGAGCAAGGCAAAGAAGAAAACATCCGTATCTGGAGTCTTAATGATAATGGAAGGGAAAGCAGTTGATGCATGCTTTGCATGAAAAAAAAGAAGGGTATCGGCTTCTTCATGGTCAGTTGTTAATTCTGGCAAAGTTTCTGTGATTACTTCATTTGTGTCACTATGAGGACACAGCATGAAACATCCTTGGCTAAATGAAGCAATCACAGTTTTTCCATGAAATTCTTCTGCTGGCAATTTTTCCAATGCATCAACATAAATAAGATGAGGGATTCTTTATTTTCACCAGACATGAGGAATTTTCGAAATTGTACCGGTGTTTTCTGTTTTTCATTCAGAGCACGTAACAGGTGGCATGGAGTAATCAAACGGCGTCTTCTTTCAGAGTCTTTAATACTCCATGGATTGTACTTATCACAGACAAAGTCAACTCTTGATGACATATAAGTAGAAGCAAGCTTGATTACATATCTAAAAACATAAATACTTAGCTCACCAAACCTTGATGGAACATGGTCTGTAAGCTGTTGTATTACTGCCATTCCATCTAATATCAGTGCTGCATTTTTGGAATATTGTTAATTTTCATATCAGGAAACTTTACAAGAAAATAATGAAATAATGCAGCTTTGTTGGTACGCTGCAAAGAACCATCAATGTTACTTAGGCTAGATGGGAACTCTGAAAGGCAATGTGAAAAAAATTCTTCCAGGTCAACTTTTCGGGTTCTTGCTACTATAAGAAGCCAGTGAGAAGGTGTTTATCTGCTTTCAAGCAATCTGCTTCCTTCTTGCTCTTTTGTTGTGAATGCTTTTTCTGAAGATCACTAAAAGTTTTTATCTTCATTGATTTTAATGGTGCATTCAACTCTACATTTTTCAAAATTAGTCGTTGTTGAACAAACTGTTTAGAAATATTACAACCTTGTTCATGTGCTGTCAAAATGTCATCTTTAATTTCAGAAGATGCTACTTGGCCAGATGCAATGTTAATTCTTTTTCACAATATGCAAATGGATTTTGCATAGACTCAATTGTCTGCATGACACTCTGAATATCTGCTTCATCCTTTTGATATCGAGAACTACTCAGGTCTTTTTTTATTATGGCAGCCCTCTCCTTTTCCAGCCATTTCAGTACAGTTTTTAGAGATTTGAGCACGTTGATTAAAAGATAAAATCCAACGATGAACAGCATTGTCATTATTTGAGAATCCAATCTGCCCACCTCTGGTCTTGCTATCTCTATTCATTGTCTGTTCAATCGTCTGGTCCATTGCCGTCTGACTAAAGGGGTACTGGTTTTGTTGCTGAACTACAAAATCCCCAGCAGCAAGATGCTTTGCTATTGCAGGGTGGGTATCTGGAACAGCAAGCATCTCATAGATATAAACAGGAAGATATCTAGCATAGTTCAAATGGTCATATGCAAAATACCAAGGTACCATTTCTGCTGCTGATTTAAGGTGAAGGGCCCAATCTCCTGTTCGTGTAGCACGAATAAAATTTAAAAACAAATCTGCCATATTCAAGTAACTCATCCAAAATGCAAAAGTTGGAAATTGGCTGCATCTCTCTTGAATAAATAAGGATAGTTTGCTTTCAAACTCTTTAAAATCATTTGATGTGCAGAGATCTTGGAATTGTGTTTTGGGAAAAGCATAATATAAATTTTTAGACAATGCAATGAATTTAGCTTTTTCTTCTTCACTTTGTGTTTCAATAAAAGTAGATAGGAGTTTCCTCCTTAAGGCTTCAGACATAATTTTTATGACTCTGACACTTCGATTATAGTGCCTGCCTTTCATG